AAGTACATATCGTTGTTTAAAGTACAAAACCGCGTATCGTCATTCTGCAAGAACGACGGCGATATGTGATATACATATGTATATAATGAAGTAAAGTATCAGGTATGTATACAAATTCATAGTTCTGTTTTGTATAATCTATGTACATAAGTAACAAAAAATAAAAATAACATAACACAAATACATGCATAAACATAAACGTCCCACTGGGGAAATAGGTAAGCTCATCGGTAAGGTACATATAGATTTTCGAATTCAGTCTTGTACTCACATATTTGTACTTGTTTTTGATACATAATACATATGTATGTTTGTATATCAGTGGCGGATCAGTGTATCACGCAAATTATTGTTAATATTGTCAAAAATTAAAGTTTGCTATTTACTCACAAAATAGAGTATACGGCGATTTTTATTATTCACTTGGTTTTTTATGTTAAAATTTTTTTGTTAATTATTTATTAAAATACAACCTATATATTAAAAAACACCACATAAATCGAAGTTTGAAACTTTATACGAAATTTAAAATAATTCTGCAGTTTCGTCGAAATCAAGAACTTTTTCATAAGAGTATGTATACAGTTTTATTGTCCATTGCATTTTAGTATAATAATGTGCAAATTGAAATGTCTTAAAATTGATATTTCTATTTTTTTTTTGCTGACGGTGCTAGGCATATTCTTCCAATATAAAGTATTCTCAGAAAATACACTACAGAAAATATTCTAAATTTCGTATAAAGTTTCAAACTTCGATTTACATATGTGGTATTTCTTAATAGATATATAGGTTATTTTTTAATAAATAATTAACAAAAAATTTTTTACATCAAAAACCATGTGAACAACAGAAAATCTCAGTATACTCAATTTTGTGAGTAATTGTATACATATACATACATATGTAAATATTGTTAGTAATAAAAATAATAATAACATTTCTTGTTGATAAAAAACTAAATACAAGTTTTAGTGTATAATAAATAGTTCCACTTTATATTTAAAATTTTGAAAGGTCGAGATTAGCATTCAGCTTCTTTATCACTTCGGTCAGCTCAATTACTGAACTGTTCAGCTGTTGAAGCGTAGCAACCAGGAGCTCATGCTGACTAGCATCTCTTTCATCCTTAACTTTAAGGCTATGAAGTGCAGCATTTAAACTTGCTACAGCTTGCGTTGTTTTTACTCGTGCATTGAGGTCTTTTATACCTGTTGAGGCAGTAAGGGTGTCATTTAAGCCAGGTGTTTCGGAAACGGGAGTCTGTTGTGTTTGAAGCAGTGTAGAGTCTTGAGCTCCTGCGGCCATCGGGGACAAAACTAAATCATTGGGGATGACCACCTCGGTTTCAATTATATCAATTTCTACTGGTTGGGAGTTGCACGTTGGTTCCTAATGATATAAATTATAATTTGACGTACATAAGTGAAATTTCTTAAATACTTTATAAAGCTGCATTTCACGGAAACTTACCTCATGCCCCAACGTGTCCATGTTTGAGCGACCATATACTGCTGCCACCCCAAATGTTTCCAGCGCTTGTTGCTCGAATTCGGACATATCTGCTGTCGGTGGTCCCCCGCCTGTTGCCTTTGTATGCTCTACGACCCTTCGTGCTCTGCTCCGCAGTTGGTTTTTCCATCCGGTTAATGTCTGTAAATCAGGTATATATGTAAATACACACATGTGTGCAATCATAATTAAAAGAAATTTATGTATCTATGTACATACATAAAATACAAATTATATATGTAACAACATATTTATGTGAGCAGGTTTGCTCTGTTCCGTCGTAAATATACCAATTAAAAAAAAAAAACTTACTTCTTTCCACTTCGCTGCCGTGCGGGTGGGCCCACGCATTGCATTCAAGTTCTCCGTTAGCTGTATCCACAGGGATTCTATCAATTTCGGAGAACTCGGCTTGTTTTTCCCCGTTTGTAGCTCCGGATGGTTCTTGCAAAATTGCACATAACACTGCAGCTGCTCCTGCGTGGTCCGCTCATATTTCGGACGTCTGGAATATGTTAAAAGGTTTAAAACAACGAAATTTTAACTATTTTACATAAATACTAACTTTTCTGGTATTTCGCCGCTCATTTTTTAATTTGAATATGAACGCTGATCAGCTGTTCACGCAACAACAAACTTTTCACCTTGAATGGTGAGTTGTAAAAGCTTTTACCTTGTCATCTTTGGTTAGGAATACCAGCAACAAATGGCAGTGACAATAAAAGCTGACAATTGTCAGTCGATGACAATTGTCATTCAAGGCAGGAATAGGGCTGGTAATCTGAAGAATGCTCAAACGCGTGTACGTGTTTGTAGAAAAGTCTCGCAGAGACCATAAAAAATATGTGAATATTTGTATCTCTTGTATTGCAAAGGGAATTTTAAAATTGTTTGACGATGTGGCTTTGTTGCTATGGCCATACTTTTAACAGCAACACTCACGTTGCTACAAAAAAAATATCTTGGGTAAATATGAAGTGTGACGAAGATTCGAGAATTGGTTAACGTTTTTTTATTTATTTGAAATATGTAGTGGACGTGTTTAAGTAAATAATTTTGAACTCCATACTCCAAAAAACAATTCACAAATGTCACACACTTTATTTTAAATAAAAGAATATCTATTAAATAATTTTTGCGATTATATTTTATTATATGATATTCCTTCTGAACGTTAGCCCCCACCGCCCACTTTTCTTTTGACTTAAAACTTTTTTAAAAATATGTAAAATTCATTAAAAAAACAAGCTTACCAATGCCGAGTGGCAAAATAACGTCCGGGTCAATTTCAAGGTCATTTCGAGGTCAACATGGTTTTTTTTAACTGGTAACCCTCTTCTTATCTCGTATTCAGAAAGAACGGAAAATTCTACGTTCAGATAACATATCATATGCGGCGTTCATTTGACCGTCAGGGTCATATGAAGCGTCAATCTTTCTATTCAATAACTTTTTTCACCAAATTTACCCAACTACGATTAGAGGCATTTCATGCCCCCTCTGTGCGCGATCTCTAAGGATTTGGATGAAAGTTGAAGAGATTGAAAGTCTAGGTTTGTTGCAACAAAGTTCAATTCTGCCATTTCCTTGAAAGGATTTTCAGTTTCCTTATAAGGACTTTTTTTTTTGACTTACATGACATAAAGAGGTTCACGCATCGGAAGAATGTTGTAGTTGAAAGATCATAGAAAAAGATTACGCATGCTTAGAAAAGATCTTACAGGTAAAAATAAGACATCGAAAGGGATTAGTATTCCATATAGTATCAGAGTGCCACTATTCTTGTCCTACGTGTGAGGAGGGTTCTGCTCTTTAGCTGTTTCAACATACACTAAAAATTTTTACTTATCCATTTGCAGTTTTTCAACGCTATTTTTGCATTGGCCAACACAAAAGCACTAATCAGGATACTTATAATTTACCTCAAAATTTGGCTTTACTACAAAGCAGTTTTAATTTCCATTTAATGACATGCAACTCTTAGTCCACAGCTACCAAGTTGTTTGATTGAGAAGTTATTCCAACTGGTATCATTGCACTCACCTGCAAAGAAAGTAGAAAATTTACAGAGTTGTGTAAAATGAAGTACATGTGCATGTATGTACAGGTAAAAAATGGTCGAAAGTACTTAGAAACCTGAAATTTAATAAAAAAATTTACAAAATAGCAGTGAAATTATGGCACTCTGAATGTTGGGAAAGTTATACGTGTCGTGCATGGTACAATAATTACAGGTATTGTCTTCCCGGAGAGTTTTGCTTCACATCGAAATTCGTGCTCCCTTATTTTAATTTTTACGCAATACAATGTTGATTCTTATACTTTTATTTGGCTTTGCTTTTTGGTTCCGCTCAATTAAATTTTTCAAAAGAAAAGAAAAAACATTTGAAATGAAGTGAGCCATACAAATTTTGAATTTATTTACAAGCAAATGTTTTTTTCCGGCTTTTGCAAATTAAATAAGTTCTCTGCAAGAAGGTTTGTTTAAAAAAGTACGTGTACATATATGGTATATGGGGTATGGAAATATCCCTTTTCCCTAGCAGTAAACATTTTAGTGTGGGCAACAACGATATTTTTTAAATAAGGCAGATCGGAATATGCGCTCTCTAGGAAGACAATACCTGTAATTAATGTACCATGCGTGTTATGTGTATAAGTATTGTATTGTTAGTTTAGGAAATAATTTGTATGAATTCATGATACAATGACTTTTTGAAGTTAGCCGCCATGTTAGCTATCTGACAGAAATCGTTATTCGTATATTTAGTGGAGCCAATTTATTAAAAAATAAAATCCACTATTTGAGGTTGGAAAAATAAAATTAAAGCAAAGGTAAAAAGTTTTAAATATTGTGTTTTCGAGGCCAGTGTTAAAATTTCCTACTGGGTCATTGGTAGAGCTTTCCGGCCCAATTACCCAATTTTAAATATTTTTGATCAAAAAAAAACATTTAAAGAAAAAATGAGATGCTGCTTCCATGAATATAGCAACACACACAATAGCTTTAAAGCACTTGAAATTTTCTGCTCTGCCGTATTTGCGAGAAAAGTGGATGGAGGTTTGCGTATTTTGTCAACAAATGGGGTTTATGTTAAAATTTTTAATTTCTAAATATTATTTTATCATGTATGAATTATAATGAGTGCATACAGACCAACGAATTTGTTTGCAAGCAAAGGAAATTGAGAGCACGAAGTGGCGGTTTTCTTAGAGAAGAAGTTGCAAATCCGTTCTGTAAATTTTTTGCACATACATACATATATATATGTAGTTGTATATTTGTCGACATTGATTTGAATTCAACAGCTCGCTTGTAGTAAGTAAATATTTGAATACTTAATTAATTTATTAAATCGGAGTGCTGTTGCAATCCCAGTCGTTATAAGAAATCCGATAGATAGGGAAAATGCACTCGTATATCAAGGTGCCCTCAAACAGACGCGTTGCGGTAAATTCTCGTACCAGTCGTTCGAGAACCACTCAACAAATGGAATTTTTCCATTACAGTACACTGCAGCACAAGAAAAAATTTTGTCTTTAAAAATCCTTAAAAATTTGGAATATTTATTTTTGAAAAATTATTGTTTGAGGACTAATATATGTACATACGACCACATCATAGATTTTCGTCCTGAAAACTTTATTAACTTGAAAAGATAAAATTATTAAAAGCGTATTTTCAATACCTATTCGTCCTTGGACTCGGGAACCAGCATTAACACCGATAATAATGTCAGCATTGAAATCCAACGTAGAATCACTCTTGCCAACAAGTGCTACTTTGGACTGAGTAGGCAATTCAGGAGTAAAGTCCTCTCTCGACGTACGAAAACCACGCTCTGTAAGTCACTCATCATGCCCGTGCTGGTATATATATGGCGCAGAAGCATGGACAGTGACAACATCCGATGAGGCGGCTCTTGGAGTATTCGATGGAAAGATTTTGCGGGAGATTTACGGGCCTTTACGCGTTGGCGACGGCGAGTACCGCAGACGATGGAACGATGAGCTGTATGAGCTTTACAACGACATGGACATAGTGCAGCGAATTAAACTACAGCGGCTCCGCTGGCTTGGTCATGTCGATCGAATGGACACCGACGCTCCAGCTCTGAAAGTATTCAACTCGGAACCCGCTGGTGGTAGCAGAGGAAGAGGGAGGCCCCCACTGCGATGGAAAGATCAGGTGGAGAAGGACTTGGCTTCACTTGGCGTTTCCAATTGGCGTCAGTTGGCACAGAGGAGAAACGACTGGCGTGCTTTGCTGAACTCGGCCAAAATCGCTTAGGCGGTTACAGCGCCAAAAAAGAAGAAGAAGAAGATTCGTCCTCGTAAACCAAAAAAAATTATTGTTTTTAAATTCAGCAGAATTTTCTCTTTCATTTGGTGCCCATATTGTTATTCTACATTGCACTGATTTTTTTAAATATTTTTTTGGATTAATTACATCTTTGAAAAATATACGCATGCAACCCTAAGTGGGCGTGGCTACGCCCATTTCCCAAAAATTTATAATATTCTAACTTTTCGTCTAAAAATTATTGTAAATATCAATTTTTAGTGAATAATCTTCAGTAGTTACTAAAATATCGCAGTTTTCGTATTTCTCTAAATTACCGTTATATGGGAGGTAGGCGTGGTTATTGTCAGATTTTGCCCATTTTCAATACCATCCGTCCTACACCCGAAATAAGTGCACGTACCTAGTTTTGTTAAGATATCTCAATTTTTACTCGAGTTATCGTGTGCACAGACGGACGGACAGACGTACGGATAGACAGTCACCGTCTAATCGATTTCTCTTTTCATTCTGATCATTTATGTATACATTTGTCTATATCTATCTCGATTCGTTTTGCCTGTTACAAACAACCGTTAGGTCACAAAGTTATAATACTTTTGTGCACAAGTGCGCTCGGGTATAAAAACTGTCAATTTCTTACTCGCTCGTTTTTAGGCATGCCATTCTTACGAATTTAGAAAGTTCGAAAATACGATTCGGATTTCAGTGTTGCAGAATAGGGGTGTTAAGCTATGTTTCAACTGCTTGGGGCACAACCATCAGTTCACCAACTATAGCAGCCGGATGAATTGTCGCACCTTTGGAAAATGACACCATACGCTCTTGCATGCAGATCGTGTTGAGGCATCAATGCACGTTGCAGTTGCAGCTGAAACACTTAAGGATTCCGCCTTGCGGAACTGGGATGTTTTATTGCCGACTGCGAGGGTGAAACTCTTCCCTTTCCAACCTTTTTGGATCAGGGATCCCAAGCATCATTTGTAACTGCTACGCGTGCCAGGTCACAAAGCCATATTAATGTCATTGGGTTATACGAAACTAAGGTTGCTGTCACATGACATTCTGACCATACGCTCAAGATTTGATAGTAGTATTAAACATCGAGTTTTAGCTTATGTTCTACCGAAATTAAGTCATGCGATGCCACTAAGGGGATGCCGCCAAAACCTTGGGCCCATTTGAACGGGTTGCAAATTATGACGACATTATACGTGGCGAGGAAACTAGGCCGAGCCGATTGGCCAATGCACCTTATAAATATAGCCGCATTCTATCCGGGGAATTAAGCACGCTCCCAACCAGTGTTGCCAGTAACTGGGTTAATAAAATCCCATCCAAATATAACCTAAATCCCGTTTTATACTAAAGTTATAACAGAAATGCCGCGCTGTATTTATGTATTATACATAAAATGCTTTCCGATGAAAAACACAAGTATTTGCATTAGAGTGGTCCAAAAATGCGCGTGAAAGAGTAAAGTCGGAAATTTAATGCAATGTTATATACCGAAAAAATATAATCCTATTTCTTTATTAACCGACTTCCAAAAAAGGAGGAGGTTATCAGTTCGCCGGAATATTTTTTATTTTTTTTTTATGTATGTTACCGCATAACTTTGGACCGCGTCAACCGATTTCGATAATTCTTTTTGCATCGGAAAGGCAGTGTCTCAGAGGTGGTCCTATTAAGGTGGTCTGGTTTAAATCCGATCATTGGATCATGAAATATATATATATACTCTAAAACTTACGATTAAAATTAATTTCAAGTGAATGAAGTTCTGCTAATAGGACTGATAACACTGGTCGACGGCCAAAATTTACCAGAGACGCCGTTATGAAATTCGTATGTAAAATCACCCCCTGATTCCGAAAATCAAGGTTATTTTTAATTTTATGGTACCGTTTTTGAGATATTTGCAATTTACCGTTTTTGCAAAAAAAAAAAAAAATGGGTCCACTTAATCATATATATCTCAAGAACGAATTAAGCAATTCCAAAACGGTTTGAAGCTTTTAGAAGGTAATAAAATTTTCTATAAGCTGTGCATACAACACTTTTTGCTAGGCCCTGTAGATTCAAAGATAACGAACAATCATTACCGATTTTTTCAAATTTTTTTGTAAAAATATAAAAAAATTGTACTTTGCGGAGAAGGATCTCGAAAACCTTTTATTTTTTTGCAGATTTTTTTTTTCTTCCTAAGCTCTGTTATATTACAAAAAAAATAAGGTATCATCGAAGAAAATCGATGCAAAACTACGTAAGTTATAAGCGATCAAATAAAAATACCCAGGTTGCGCAA